CCCCCCCCCGGATACCACTTAACTAAGAACATGTTTTCTGGCAGTCAGATGTGGTTCTGTGTCTCACTGCAGATTATGTTTTGGAGGAAAACTAAAGGGTTCTTCTTGGGGGGGAAAAGGGTGTATAGAAGTGTTATTACACAAAAAATATCGGGCGACCTCGAAAATGTGAGAATGTGGTGTCAAATGTAGCACTAAGAGCTCTAGGACAAAACAAGTCCAATGTCGGAGTCTTCAGTAAAGCTGTATTTGAACTCTTCAAGCTATTGCCTGTACCTGTTTTTGTGTACAGTACAGTGAACTGTATTCACAGACAGTGATTTCTGGAAGTGTTCCTGAGCCTGTGCAGTGATTTCCATGATAGAATGACACCTGTTTTTATTGCAGTGTTGTTTTACAACCTGAATATCACATGCATCCATATCGATTTTTGGTCTTGTCACTTGTGCACGGAGATTTCTCCAGGTTCTCTGAATCGTTGGATGACATTAGGTAACCAGATACTCTACAAAATGTTCTTTCAGCTGTTTTGTTTTTTAGTCCCACTTACTTTGTACGAAAAAAAAACGGGACGGGATGTTCTTATTCATTTCACATGCCTGTACATGACCTGAGTATCCTGTCAATCAACACTTTGTAGCGGACTCGCAGCCCGGTAACCTTAATGAGTAGCCACACGACCCATTTACATATAATTCATATTTGTTATTTTGAATATATGCAATGTCTTAATCAAATACTTGAAAGAAAATATGAATCAAACATACAAACGCACACACACACATACATACACACATTAACACAATTTAGTTCTCATGGAGACTGTGTTAAGTCAGTCATCCTGGTGTTTTCATTGGCATCCTGCTCTTCAGGTAAAGGATCGTACTGTCGTCTATAGAGCAGCCGTGTCACCATCGTTATGATGAACATCTCCATGATCAGCAGCTGCTGGCTCATCACTGTGAAGGCAGAATAAGGACACAAAGAAGCTCATCTGTCACAGGGTTACTGGTAAAAAATAAGGATACTGATGCATGCTAAATATGATACAGTTGGATCCATAAATATTTGGACAGGGAATGCTTTTTTTTTTTTTCTTCCTTATTTTGGTTCTGTAAATTACCACAATGACCTTTAGATGAAACAACTCCGATGCAGTTGAAGTGAAGAATTTCAGCTTTAATTCAGTGGGGGAACAAAAAGATTGCCTAAAAATGTGAGGAACTGGAGTATTTTTTAACACAATACCTTCATACCAGGAGCTCAAAAGTAATTGTACAAATTAAATAAGTGAAAATAAAATGTTTATTTTTAATGGTTTTGCTGACAATGACAGCCTGAAGTCTTGAGCTCATGGACATCACCAGATGCTGGGTTTCCTCCTTTTTATGCCCTACTAGGCCTTTACTGCAGTGGCTTTCAGTTGCTGTGTGTTTGTGGGTCTTTCTGTCTGAAGTTTAGTCTTCGACAAGTGAAATGGATGCTCAACTGAGTTAAGATCAGCTGACTGACTTGGCCATTCAAGAATACTCTACTTATTTGCTTTAATAAACTCCTGAGTTCCTTTGGCGAGTTTTGGGTTATTCTCCATCTGTATTTTGAAATGCCGCCCAATCAATTTTACTGCATTGAGCTGGATTAGAGCAGACAGTATGCTTCTGAACACTTCAGAACTTATGCTGCTTCTGTCCTGTGTCACATCATCAATAAACACTAGTGTCTCAGTGCCACTGGCAGCCATGCACGACCAAGCCATCACACTTACCTCCGCCGTGTATTACAGATATTGTTTGCTTTGGATTCAGAGACATGAGGCGTTTCACGCTTCTCCATGCTTTTTTCTTGCCATCATTCTGGTAGAGGTTGATTGTGGTTTCATCTGTCCAAAGAATGTTTTTCCAGAACTGTGCTGGCTTTTTGAGATATTTTTTTATTTTATTTTATTTTTTAGCAAAACCCAAATCTAGCCTTTCTATTCTTGAGGCTTATGAGTGGCTTGCAGCTTGCAGTGAACCCTCTGTATTTACTTTCATGCAGTCTTCTCTTTATAGTACACTTGGATATCGATGCACTTACATCCTGGAGAGTGTTGTTCACTTGGTTGGCCGTTGTGAAGAGATTTCTCTTCACCATGGAAATGACTCTGATCATCCACCACTGTTGTCTTCTTTGGATGTCCAGGTCTTTTTGCATTGTTGAGTTCACCAGTGCGTTCTTTCTTTCTCAGGATGCACCAAAATGTACATTTTGCAACTCCAAATATTGCAGCAAGTTTTTTTTCTTCTGTTTTTGCAGCTTAAGGATGGCTTATTTCACCTGCATGGAGAGCTCCTTTGACCACATTTTGTCTGTTCACAGCAAAATCTTTCAAATGCAAGAACCACACCTTAAATCAACTCAAGTTCTTTTATCTGCTTAACTGATAATGACATATTCAAGAATTGCCCACACCTGCCCCAATAAATAGCCTTTGAATTAATAGTCCAATTACATTTGGTTGCTTTAAAAAGAAGGTGGCATATGCTAAGGAGCTGGAATACCTAAACCCTACCTCCAGTTTGAATGTGGATACCCTCAAATGAAAGGAGTTTACACATTATGTCCAAGTATATTATTTAACTATGATCGAAATGTGTTTCAGTAAACACATACAAAAATAAAACTAGTGTCAGTGTCCAAATATATATGGAACTGTAAATATGTGGATGATTGGTCTGACTGGATGTAAACTCACTGTATCCTCTGAAAGGCGAGGGGAAAGGTGGAGAGCAGGCGATGGTGCCATTCGTGCCCAAGATGTTGATAATAGCTGTCTGCAGCTGGGAAAGAATCAGGAGCAGCTAACGACACAAATGAAAACATATAAGGACTAATTGTAGTTGCAGCTTGTGTTATCCTGGTAAAACAGTCTTTCAAATCTGTTATTAGTCTTTATCCAAAAGTGTGCACATGTGCTTGATCAGTGTCTTACCTGATACATGGCGTATTTCGGGACGATCTTTATTGTTCGCAGGGTGTTCTTCAGGTGCATAAACGTGATGCCAACAGGCCACAAAGCTGTGATTGTCAAGACGCCTACAAAACAGTTGATCCATATTGCAACCTCTGTAGCACTTATCTTCAAAACACACACACACACACACACACACACACACACACACACACACACACACACACACACACACACACACATTTTATATAAAAATGGTCAAAACAGAGCTTGGCCATTGTCTTTAACATATGAATATGGTGATTTATCTTTTTCATACAAAATTGGAGTTATAATATTGGTTTAACAGTACTGTAAGCAGAGCTTTGTCGGCTGACATGAGAAATGTCATGTAATTAATATATCCTTAGTATCCTTATTTTCTTATTATATTGTTTTATGTACTTTAATAATGAAGGTTTGTAGAGCAAGGCCACTTTTGACTCATAAACTAAGTGCTTAGCCAGACTGAAAACAGGAAGTGTAGAGCTGTACAATATATTAATAAATACAGGAAACCAGACAGAAAAGAGGAACTTTGCCATATAAGCAATGGTTGTATTGAAACTGTGAAGTGTAAAGTACCATAATAATACCTATATGAGACACAGTTTATGATTCTAATGTGAGAGATCCTGCAACTGGCGTTTGGGCTGTGCAGGGGTCTCACTCTTCCGGAAGATGATTGAATAAAAAGAAATATAAATGTTTTAACACATTATGAATCGGTTTTCTCTGTTCTATCATGGGGACAAAAGAATCAGGGTTTAATAAAAACTAACAACAAAAATACAGAAATGAAAACAGCTTTATCAGGATTTCAGGGTAGTTTCAATTACATTTTACTGTCACTGGGCACTTTGTTAGGAATACCAGTTCAACTGGTTTCCTTGGGAGAGTTTAAATCCATCTTAACGGAACGAGAGAATGATTCTTTTAGTTAGTGTGATTGTTTTTAATGTCGCTCTTACTTCATCTGTTATTGTATATTTTTCACATGTCTGTACAGGATATTATGGTAAATGGTAAATGGCCTGCATTTGTATAGCGCTTTACTCAGTCCCTAAGGACCCCAAAGTGCTTTACACTACATTCAGTCATTCACCCATTCACACACACATTCACACACTGGCAATGGCAAGCTACGTTGTAGCCACAGCAGCCCTGGGGCGCACTGACAGACGAGGCCACCGGGCCCTCTGACCACCACCAGTAGGCAAACATGGGGTTAGTATCTTGCCCAAGGATATTTGGCATGCAGTCAGTTGGCAGCGTGGGATTGAACCACCAATCTTCTGATTAGTGGCTGACCTGCTCTGCCACCTAAACTAAAGCCATAATGAGCTATAATATACATATTATATTGTATAAGGACTAATAATAATTATGGGGATGTTCCTAAACACAAATGTTTAATTGGCCAATTACATCGCAGCAACTCAACTGCTATTGCACCTAGGCATGTAGACATGGTCAAGATGACCTACTGAAGTTCGAGCATCAGACTGAGGAAAAAAGACGATTTGCATAACTTTGAATGTGGCATGGTTGTTGGTGCCAGACGCCCTGATCTGAAACTGCTGATTTCTGGGTTTTTGTCACACTAGGGTTTATAAAGAATAATATCTTGTCTGTTCCCTGGGTGAAAATGCCTGGTTGATGCCTAGGTTTGGTAGTGAATTGCTTTGAATGGAAAGAAAGGCATCAGTAATTCAAATGTGCTACAGCAGAAGTGATACTTTTGTAATTCACACAGGCTCACCAAAATTGGACAATAGAAGATTGGAAATATGCTCTTTGGTCTGATAAGTCTCAATTCTGCTCGGAGATTTGGACAGTAGGGTCAGAATGTGGTATGAAAAACATGAAAGACTGGAATCACCCAGTTCAAGCTGCTGCTGGTGTAATGGTGTGGGAGATGTTTTAATGGCTGTCTTTGGGCCTCTTTGTACTAAATTCTACTAAATTGAGCATTGTTTAAACACCACAGCCTATCTGAGTATTGTTGCTAACTGTGTCCATCCCTTTATGACCAGTGTACCCATCCTGTAACGGCTGCTTTCAGCAAGATAACACACCATGCCACAAAGCTCAAATCATCTGAAACTGCTTTCTTGGACACAACAAGGAGTTTGCTGTCCTCAAACACCCTCCACAATCACCAGATCTTAATGCAACAGAGCATCTTTGAGATGCAGTGGAACGGTAGATTGATATCATGGACGTGCAGCCAACAAATCTGCAGATGCTAACTGTGATAGAATCAAGTGGATATGGGCCAAAATCTCAGAGGAATGTTTCCAGGAGCTTGTTGAGGGCTGTGCCACGAAGAACTAATGCAATTCTGTAAGAAAAAGGGGGTCCAACAAAGTAGTAGCAAGTGTGTGAGTGTGTGAAGACTCTTGTGGCTAACAACATGTGATTTACTCAGAGTGGAGTTAGCAAAAGTAACTCTAGGTAGAAAATAATTCACTGTCAGACAGGTGGCTGAATCTAGATTTAACTGTAACAGCTTGATTTAAGGGAGCAACCATATGACACAGTGAAACAGATAAGTAACATAGACTATAAAAACTACTGTACTATAAAATGAGGCATGTAGGCAGATCAGCGATTTTGTTTTCTGATATTTAGCTTTGAGCCAACTTCAGCTTTTGTGACTCTGCAAACCTCTTCCATGAACAAAATATTTCTAAACTGAAAAAAGGGACTATTAAGCCTCTGTCTCTACAACAGGTCTGGATTACAAATTACAACTGCGGTTCCAGCTGTGTATAAAACATCCAGAGCAACAGAGTATTTTTTTTAAATCATTTTCAATGAAAAAACTAAAGAAGCAAACAAGAAGCTCTCTGAGAGCGCACGCCCCCCTCAAAGGCTGCGTACTCAGCAGCATGACAAAGGTGTACTTTGATTACACAAACATTATTTAGAAGTGGGTAATGGATAACGTGTATTGATTTTTAAATAAATGGACATGAATAACTTGAGTTTACAAACGGCTTAAAAGAATTAAATGAACTACTTTTGATCAGAGGATAGCATTAAGTCAGTTAAAAATACTGGGACACTGATCTGATCGTTTATGTAGCAGTTTTAGCTGCTTTGTTGTTAATGAAATGACAGTAACAGCGGGTGCACTAGAGATGAAACAATGAGACAACCACCAAGACAGGACTGCTTTTACAGATGAAGACCACTGAAAGATTTTTCACTAGATTTTGCATTTGGCTAGGGTCAGTATGAGGGTATACCTGGACACTACATAGGTTGCACAGGTAGTCCAAGTCCTCCAGGATAGCACATCAGCATGTAGCAGAAGGTTGGCTATGTTTCAACAGCGTGCTCCTGGAATTTACATGTACATCTCTCCTAAAGTAATTTTGCAGGGTCAAAGAAAGTCCTTAACCCATCAGCAGTACTGGTATCTGCTCCTTTGTGCAAAGAGGAGCAAGATGAGCACTGCCAGAGCCCTACAAGATGACCTCCGTCAGGCCATTGTCGTAATTGTCTATGACCAAAAAATGGGTGGCCCGTGGACGGGATGTCCTTTGGGCCCTGTGCTCACTGCCCAGCGCCATTGAGCCTGCTTGAGTTTGCAATAGAATAAGAGAATTGGCAGGTCCATCTCTGTTGCCCTGTGCTTTTCACAGATGAGAGCAGGGTTACCCTGAGCACATGTGACAGATGTGAAAGAGTTTGGAGAAGTTATGGAGAACGTTATGGTGCCTGTAACATCGTTCAGCATGATTGGTTTGGCAGTGGGTCAGTGATGGTCTGCAAAAGCATATCCATGGAGGGACGCACAGATCTCTACAGGTTAGACAACGGCCCCCTAACGTTCATTATCGGAGTGAAATCCTTGGACCCACTGTCAGACCCTAACCTGGTGCAGTGGGTCCTGGATTCCTCCTGGTGTAGGACAATGCCTGGCCTTATGTAGCAATAGTACATTAAGTTTCGGTCTAAACGACGCCTCCAGGTCACAGCTCAAGCTGTGCAGGAGCTGAGTGATGCTCTGGTCCAGATTTAGGAAGTAGATTCTCCAGGGCACCATCTTTCATCTCATTAGGAGCATGCCCCAATTAAAAACAAAAATCCAAAAATCTAAACTAGATCTTCAGGCATGTATACAAACTTGTGGGGGCCATTCAGACAACTGAGTACCATATTAAGTTGTTGCTTTAAAATTTGTGGGAAATCTGATGCATAATTTTTTTAATGGTGTCTTTGAATTATGTCCTTGGTGGGGTAATAATTTGATTGCTTCTATTTCTGTTTCAGAAGCCAAATTTTAATGAACCGTTAATGCAGCCCTGCTTTACACCATATAGGATTCTAGTTGCCCAACAGTCCTTCTTTTCTGTATTTTCTATTTCATGATGTGCCAGATGTTTTCCGTTAGTGAAAGGTTTGGGCCTGCAGACAGGCCAGTTCAACACCTGGACTTTTTTATTATAAAGCCATCTGTTGTAATAGCTGCAGTATGCAGTATCTTGCTGAAATATTCAAAGCCTTCCCTGAAAAATACATCTGGATGAGAGTATATGTGTCTTTAAAACCTTTATATGTTTTTCAGCACTGCTGGCGCCTTACCAGATGTGCAAGTTGCCAATTCTACAGGCACTAATGTAACCCCATCCCATCAAGGATGAAGGAATTTGAACTGAACACTGATAACAAGCTGGATGGTTCCTCTCCTCTTTAGTCCAGAGGATGTGGCGTCTATATTTTCCGAAAAAAACAAAACAAAACACTTGAATTTTCCAGCCTTTTGTTGCCTCTGTCCCAACTTGTTGGAGACGTGTTGCTGCCACCACATTCAAAATGAGATGATTTTTTTTTTTCTAAAATGCTACAGTTAAGAAATTTGATATCTTTTTAAAATATTCTATTGTGAATATTAAATTTGTTTGTGAGATTTTAAAATCTTTACACACGCACCCCAACTGTTTCAGAATTGGGTTTGTATTTGGAGAGATAGTTGTTTACATTTCTGTGCTTTCAACTCACTTCCCTCACGTGGTAGTTGTCGTTGGTGTAGAGAACAATGGAAAAGATGGTGAAGGCAGTCTTCAGGACGGCAAACTGGATGGAGCCAAGTTTGAGCAGGAAGAGAGAGCGTCTGGAGACGAAACAGAGGAAACCATTTCATTATCTGCTAATGACCCGGAATAATCTCACCTCTGATTTACAGTAAAAACCACAAAAAGTTCATTGTGCAGTTCCACTATACCTGCCCTTGAACATTACTTAAGGATGTCTGGAGCAATAAAGAGTGGATCTGGACACATCTCTGTGTGCTGCTGGCATGTCAAGATTTGACTGTGGTTACGCAACCAAAACAACATTATGCTTCTGAGTTGCATTAGTGGGGTTTTTTTTAAACATAAAAACAGGGCACAGTATAAGTAGCTGAGCATGCCCTGGCTTGATTGTCATCATCTTGCAATGCAGAATAAAGGCTTTAAAAGGATTTTTTGTTAACTTTGCACATTTGCCTGTCACTGCCTGGCAACAGTGTGGCCTCATTCCAAGAAACTACATGGGAAGGAGATAATGCTTGTGTGGCCAAATATGTGGCATGTTCACCCATTTTCTTATTTGTTTAGACCCCTTGGTCTTTTTGATCTTTGGCCTGGAATCTATCCTTTCTATACACTGAAACTACAATCAAGTTCATATTAGCAGAACTGGGAGCGAACATTTCTATCGCCATTAACTGTGAACTTTAATTGCAGTGGCTGTTCTGTCTGGTCATCATCTATAGGCTTCAATAGTAATGCGTTCATAGATCGGCACTTCTCTAAGGGATGAAAATGAACTGGGACGCCAGGTCAGCTCTGTTCAGATAATGCATTCTGCAGACAGACAGACAAACCAGTGTGCGACTCCTGTATCTGATTAAAATGGCCAAATCAGAAAGTCCATTGCAACACATGGTGCCACTTGGCTTTGTTCTGCAAAACAGGGGGGTGATATGTCTGTTCTGTAAATGCTGCCCCACACCAAACAAGTTGAATGACCAGTAGTGTAACCTGGATTCTGAGAACCAGACTGAAGCTCTAGTGTGAATTCAATGCTCTATGCAAAGAGGCTCTGTGTTTGTGTAATGTTTGAACGGGGGTGCAAACTACTTCAAAGCCACCCGCCATGGTCTGTGCTTCATTAGCATTCCAGGTTGTTGCCATCTGCATGTTCTCAAGCAATTGCCAAATATCAAAGCATCTGTGGAAACATATTTGGAAACTGACCACCCTTCGCTGGAACTATTAAATGTGGACAGTAAATAAATAGAAACTACGGCGCAGGTGAGCGCGCCATTTCAAGGCTATTCTTCCATATACGTAAAACTTCAATAAAATAAGCCTGGAATTCAGGCAAACACGAGAGCTCATGCTTGACTGCACTGGCAAAATTGCTTTCAGATCTCTCTGACTGCTTTCAGAGAACTTTTGCGGATGTTGACATGCTCCTTTAAAGACCAAATTTAGCCGTGAGGTTTAATCTAGTTTATTTAATCTGGCGTTTATAGCCTTAAAGCCCCCTCCACCCCTACCTACCAAGGAGGAAAAAAAAATCTACCCAAGAAAAAGGCTCTTTTGCCAAGAATAACAAAAAAACAAGATCGGAAGACGTCCATCATCAGCTTTAGTGACTATTCTGAAGATATGCATCTGCTGAGTGCTCTGCAGAAGTTAGACATTTGCATTTTAAAAAACAAGTAGATTTGCTTTCCGCTTACACGACAGTAAACTAAAGCAGAAAAGTGACTGTGTCACTTGTGGATTTACCGTGTGATGGCCACCTCTGGCAGGCAACAGCAGCAGCAGCAACAAGGCCCCGTGCTGATCTTCAGTTTATATTTTCCTGCACGCTTCAGAAACGCCTCATCGCCACCCACCTCTTCCACCATCAGGATCAGGAACTTGAACACCACGATGGCAAAGTAACTACGGTGAAAGAAGAGGACGAGAGGTGGGTAAATGGAAACAAGGAACATGGAATGAGATCTAGGAACGTAGGAAGAATAAGAGAAAGAGGTTTTTGGAGGAGGGCTCAGGAAGAGTAGTAGAAAAGTAAATGACGCTTCACACAGTACTTAACAGCACTCCTGTTTTCAGTTTTTCTGTAGGTTCTGAGGTTCAGGTTTCACTATTATCTTTCACAGCAGGACTCTGCTGGTCAGAGAGACACACAGCACAGTGGGAAACGGAGGGTGAGTAAAAGAGAAGGGACGAGTGGGAAAAAAAAAACAAAAACCCACCAGCCAGAGAACATATCAGTAAACATGGTAGCTCTGGGGATCCACATCCCCAGACATGACATGGTGCCAATCGCCTGAAAAAATGATACAAGCGTCAATTAAAGATCCAGGTATACGTTTGTGTCATCTGTTTCTTTTCTGCAAACTGTTCTCACCGGTGCTGCTCCATTCACCCAGATGATGAGACTCTTCTTATTGGCAGGTACTTTCCTATAGATGTAGATACATTCCTCTAAGAAGACCAGCAAAGAAACTGTTGCCATGAAGGTCAAGATGCCATACAGGATGTAGTCAAAGACACCAAACCCTGAAATTAACAAAGGAAAAGGAAAATAGATTTGCTTTCATTAAATCTGAGGTGGTCGATGTGATCTTCATCAGCTGAACTATGGCTGAACTATGGACACACACACACTGATAAGCACTCACTTGTATCCCCATGTGAAGTCTGTGTTGTGTGCGTAAGGTCAGGGTTGATTCCACTGCAGGGCAACCTGCCACTGCATGTGGCGAATAAAATTTGAACTTGATTCTCCTCATGGGTATTGCTGCTGATATATGCTCAAAATACTACCTACAGCTGAAAATGTTATGTCAAAGTGTTACCCTGATATGGCAACATGAGAAGCTAAGTGCTTGCATGCTGTTACAGGAAAAAGTCCAATTAGGTTTGACCCTGTAAACCACAAGAGCCCTCTGATGTCAGAGAGATGAGTCAAGTGTGACTGCTGCCCAAAGTCTCCTCCAGGATGTCCCAAAGGTTCTCAGTGGACCGAAGTGGCTTTGTCTGAATCTAAATATGCCTGTGCCTGTGTGAATCAGTATATTCATATTGTCAACTGAGCTCAGTTTTTTGGCCTTATTACACCGATGAACCTAGACCCGACCAGGTGACGCAACCCCAGATCACAGCATCACCCACTGCACTGCACAGGCTTGTTCGGTAGACACCAGGCATGACAGCTGAGTATTGCTTTATCAGCTCTCCTCTGACACTGATGCTCCCATCACTTTAATCTTTATCAGACTACATGATCTTTTCCCATCACTCCAGATGCCAACCTTTATGCTCAGTAAGGCTTTTTTTCAAGCCTCGCTGATAAGTGCTTTTCTTAAGGCTCACAGCTGTTTAATCCCAGTTTGTTGAGTTTTCTTCATATTGTATATTGAAATGCTCTCATTTTCACGGTTAAACGTGAGCTCAAATGTGAGCTCTACAGTTGATTTCTAGATGTTTGGTCACCGCTATCTTTCCTAGTTTTAATAGTGTGTCAGAGGGTTAACCCAGTTTTAGTAGTTTCAGCAATCTTGGCCGTTTTCTTTGCTTGACACAGGCCAACATTTTGACTCTTCTGAAAATGATAAACATGTTTTACCGCGACCACAGGATATGCCTACTGACACAGACGTTGAAGAAATGACAACTCAGTGCTGAATTCAGCTGTTGTGAGGTGAATCATATTGCTGCAGTAACTGTCCAGTGGAAGGCTCTTATCTGTTTGCTTAGATAAATCCTGGTAATGGGGGATTTAATGGGGGAGTGTATTTCTAGGTTAATATATTTGTGGGCTTCTGTTAAAATGATTCAACAACCATTCAAATAAACTAAAGCCAAATACTGTCAGACCAAAACAAGCTCCTGTGGCTTTGCCCACTGTTAGGCTGATTGATATCATCTTTGTGCTAGCAGAACTTACTTTGTAGTCAATAAACAAAAGTGCCATCACAGACGTAAAATGAAACAGCAGTAGGTAAGCTTCTCGTAAGCTGGTTAATGATTCTGAAACAAGGTGCCATGCATGTGGGCAGGATTATGCACAATGGAAAGTAGCAATGCGGGGCAAAGTGTAAGTTGCGGAAACATCCACAGCAGCTGGCAACCAGCAGCTAGGAAATGTAATTACGGCTGAATTGTTCAAACTGATTTTACACAGAAAGAACAGTGTGTGATAAGAAATCTGCAATCCGGTTTGTGTCTGAACAAGAATGGGAGGAAGGGCTGAGTAAAAGTTCCAGCATGCTAATATAATTAAGATGATACTCGTAATATGTGTCATTTCTTCTCTGGTGTTCGTGGTTTTGAGTGCACAGCATAGACAGGAGACATTCGTTCATTTGTTTGTTTGCGATGAGGCAGAGAGTGACTGAAATCTGGAGCCTATAAATCACAAATTCTAACGGTATTTTAAGTGTTCTCTTTGACCACTCAAGCTACCATACGATGAGCCAGATATGCATGTGGCACCGTCTGGGTAATTCAGCAAAGTGGTGACGAGGCCACACAGTTTTACGCTCTCCTGCAGTGGATAATCAAGTCTTGATTTTTGGGGCTGTTACTGATTTTTGAGAATTAATTTTAAAAAAACAACAACAACAACAACAACATTACCCACTGGCCAATCATCTGGTTTCATTTCCTAACGTAATATTACACATCTTTGTAGCACATTTGCTGACTGAGACATGCAGTCTGAAGTACATTTATCTCGGCGCTACAAAAAATAAAAATCTGAAGTTTCAACAAAAAGGATGCAGAAATAATTTAGCGTAGAATCGAAGGTTAATTCATAAAAATAATTAAGGAAAATGCGCTTGGTATAAACTGAATATATATCAGGTAAATTTAAATGTAACTAGATCCCATTAAATGTAATAGTTAACACTGTTCTTATGTAAGCAAACTATAAAGAAGATTTACACGTAATTATTTAGTTAAAGTCAGAAATTTGGGCAAAATATTGTTTAATTTAGTGTGTCTCGTTGCTGATCATGTGTAGCAGTGTGCATGATCCAAAACAGACATTAAACACATTAAAATAATAAACACGTTTTTCAAAAAAAGAAAAAGAAAAAGAAAAAAGAAATCAAGAAAAAGAAAAGAAAAGAAAAAAACGCCCTCGGGCCAAATGGAAGCCATCCACAGAATAAAAAAGTGCAAACATGGCTCACACTTTCACGCTCTTATTATTGGGATATTGTTATTACAATAACAATATTAACTCCACATCTGTAGAAAGTTTTAGGAGGGAAACAGTTTACCTTTGTTGTGCGGTTTGTCTAATTGTTCGCAGATGGGTTTGTAAAGCGAATGAGGGGGAGTCTGTAAGTGTACTAAAAGATCACTTGCTGTACACTTCAGTGGTAGGGAAAAACCGAGCAGATGTTGGCACACACCTGGCTCTGAGACAGCGTCAAACTGAGCTTAAATAGTTTGCTGGGAGGGGGCACGAGCAAGATACCATAAAAACACTATATGTTATCGTCTGTGTATTCCAACACAGTATTAATATGTAATTCTCGGCTAAATCTATATATTATATTATATTATATTATATTATAGATTTATTTTGTTTTATTTCATATGTCTGAAAAATCCTCACTTCAAAGTAGTTGACCATCGTGCTGCAAAGGGGCAGCAACATAGCACAACTTCAGTCTTTCGTTCCCCAGTGTGGTTCAAAGACTTCCAGGAATCCCATTAAGTCCTAATGAAGTACAACCAGCAGTTTAGTTTCTCTGCTCCGCCACCGTTACCAGGGCTCTGCGACCCAGTGGTTCACAAAAACCCTCCCACCAATTAAAATTCCCGTGGATCTACTCTTGCTGCTCGTAGGGAGCTCTTGACGGGAACCGTGAAAACGGGCAAGTCTGCCGTGCGGAACCCGCTTTACTCACTGCGGATGACATCCATGGCGAAAGGAGCGTCCTCCGTTTGACATATCGGGTCAGAGATAGGGAAGGATCTATTGCTCATGTTGGCTCCTGTCGGTGCCTTCTCGGTCCCCTTTCCATCCATGGACGCTCGATGCGTAAAAGTCCGAAGTGGCTTCTCCTGAGAGCCTCCTCAAACTTTTTAAAAGGGCATATCTGCTTCTCAGATACCCTGAAACACTCAGTCAGTGCAACTGGACCCCGCCTCCTTTGAATAGACAAGGGTGAGCTGTCTGCATCTGACGGGGAACTTACGCACAAAGGATGACTTTAAAGTAGTCCCACATTAAGTGACTCTTGCTTCCTTTGAATTGGTGCAATATTGATTTGCTCACCGTTTAGATAACACTCGGCTGATATGTGATTCCTGTTTGTGCCACTCGTTAGAATCAGGTGGCAATCTGGTAAACATATTCTGATTTGGATAGTGGTAGTTTGTGACCCCACCGTGGCTTTTGTAAATGCTGCTCACTTTAGACTTGTCCTGCGTCGTTGAACGCAAAAGCAGCCGTTCTCCTCTCCTGTTCATTATGAGCAGTGTTGGCCCAGCCAATTCCAGTTTCCAACAATGGCTACTACTACTGCAGCTACTTAGTTTTAGTATTACTCTTATTACGCTTTCTGGGTCGCAAAATAAACGTTTAACATATTTTCAGGCGAGAATGTAGCTGAGTAAACTTCAAATATCTGAGCCGACGAGAACAGCAAACTCCGGGCACATCGTTTTAGGCTTTGGCCCACATCAGTCTAAAATTGTATGTAACTATGAATAACGTGTTGCCATGTCCACCAGGAGAGACTGGACAGTATAGATGTAAAACAAATATCCCAGCAGTTTATCTCAGATAACGAGAGGAGCAGGCATGTGTTTGGCTCCTTCACATAGTGGACATTGAGTTTTTGTGTGGGACACCAGTAGTCCATGTCTGTTGCTGTAACAGTACTTCATGTTTAGAATAAGAAATCCCAGCTCACTGATTTGATAAGGGCAATAGTGTGCCTAAAATGTTGCATAATTTTGCTGAGAGATCTTTTACTTTGTGGTAATCTTAGATGAGTAGTTTATGGACAAAACCCAACAGGTCATTCAGTGTTCCTTTAGTGCTAATGTGTAAGAGATGTTGGTGCAGTGTAACTGAAGTAATGTTGTTAAGTCCTTAAAGTCATATTCTTTTATTGTAATGACTTATTTGAAGCTATTTTTATTTTTGTATGATACCTGATTTATATGGAATATGGCTGAAGTAAACTAAAGTCTAAAATACTTAGTCATTTGTTTAATAGTAATATAACATTATATAATTCACATATAAAACTATGAATTGTAATTTAAATGGTTTAAAAGTATGTAGAATAGCATATGTAAGCAAGTATGTTTCTCTCTCTTTTTTTTTATATCAAGAAGCAAAGACAAAAAGAAAAAAAAAAGACACAGGGCAGGGTTCGGTGGCTGAATCATCCGTCCCCACCAATGCCAAAACCAAATCTACGCCCTTGCCCGCCATAATATGAAACAGGGAAGTACCGCCGTGTAATCCATTTATTTCAACAAAGTAACTGTATTCTAAATACCACCTTTTTAAACGGTAACTGTAATGGAATACAGTTACTCATATTTTGTATTTTAAATACGTAACGGCGGTTCATGTATTCCGTTACTCCCCAACACTGATTATGACACACTCACATGTATAAGGTGGAATCTGATAGAGGGTTGGCTATACTCACTTCACTGTTACTGTCAACTCTTCACAGATGAGGATTTGAGCTAAGTGGGAACATCTTTTTATAATTTGCTACAAAACAGTACCAAGGCAATGGAGTTTTGGACGGAGGAGGAGGGGCAGTTTGACAACATCAGGGCTGCATGTGTATGTGGTGTTGGTGGTGGATTTCTTTGGACTGGGGCGCCTACAAAGCACACACATCTTTCTGCTTTCACTTTTGTTTTGCAATACTTTTGAGCAGCACTTAAAAGGCTGTTAAGTATTTGAGACCACCCAGGTGGGTTTACAGCATCTGAACAGCACCAAATACAACTACAATGATAGGACGCCTCACTGGATATCTGAGAACACGCTCTGTGCCTGTTTTGTTTGTTTGTCTGTTTTGGGGTTTGTTTGTTTTTTGGTTCAGGTAAACCTTGTCTTTTCGCGAGGTTGGATCCTTTCTTTTTGTTTACACCAAGATTAAACCCCTTTATCCTTGAGTTTCATGTACAGACCCGTCACAGGAATGATTAACAGAGATGGCTGAGGGGCACCAAAACAGGGACGCATCTCACATCAGATGATTTACACAAGTACGCATCCTTCACTGTACAAAAAAAGGATGATATAACACATCATTTTCTGACCTCATATTAACTCTGAGTCATTTTAACCAAGCCTGTGCAACTCTCTCTTAGCTCTCAAGGCTCACCTTGTTTGCTACAGACTGACTCTTTAGAACTGATTTGCCCTAACTAGCCTGCATTTGGGTAATTGATTGAAAATGTCAACACTCTACAGCCTTCAACCCAGACACAGTTTTACCCTGAACAGGTTTGAACAGGTTTCTCTTCACAACTGCAATCTTGTTACAGCCAGTGATGGTTAATGATGATGATGAGCAATTTCGCATCTAGAAGCCAGAAATTTAGGTTAAAGCTCATTTGGGTTCAACCTTAAATTTAGCTGATAAATTTCAAATAAAACTGTCAGTTGGTTGCATCTAATTTCCTGCTGGTTGGCTTTGTTTGTAGAGCCTGATGTCACCATCCAGTCAACACCATCACTATTTAATGCCTTTCCCTTTAATGGATAAGCCACACAGTGGTCTTCAGTGAAACTGTGGCTGCCTTTGCTTTTCATACTTTTTTCCCCTCTTTTACAAGCAAATACTGTTTTCTTTCCCTGGAAAAGTGACTCAGACTTTATTATCTTAGGTGGCTCAACATTAGCTCAAACACTCACATTACAGAGGAGAGTAGAAAACGGGCGAAAACCAAAAGTTCTTCTGTTTTTATTGTGTTGAAATTCTTTCTTTTCCTCTTTTTTGAACTGTTTGGATTTTGTTTACGTTTTTTCTTTTTTACTACATTTTGCTCCAGTAGCTGCTTAAACTGACCCGTGAAACAGATGCGACGCACGCTCTTGTGTCTTCGTGTGCCAACGCTTTGATTTGCGGACAAGCGCAGCAAGCAATTTTACAAAGAAAGTGACCATGAAAGACACGAGGACGAGCAAACAACAACATCATCACCAGAGGTGAAGGGCCTGGGTGTCACAGAGATAGCAAAGGTCAATGCTCAACAGGGTTCCTGAATCTAAGTCCACAATGAGTGTTTACTCTTTCTAATCACTTCTGACAGCACATGGTTAAACACAGCTACCCATTCAACGTGCACACTGTTACTGTAGCTTTGATAGAAAAACTTAGAACTTTTTTTTTGTCATTGTACAGTTGCTTGCACAGCGATATTAGGTAGCAAGACCACAAAAGTGCAAAAGTACAGAAATCAATATACACAGAGGAAAAGCAACATAAGTACAACAATATAAGTACACTATATACATGCATAGTGCATGTTTCTTTGCAGATGCTGGAGTGTGTTTCCAGAAAAGATGTTTTGCAAGTACTGCTTACCTGATGATCACAGCTGGTGTGACCAGACATTCGATTTCACAACTAATTTTCACCATCAAAGTGTCAAAACTACTATGAGGAGATGATACTGAGTATAGAAACTGTAACATCTATGTTTGCTTTATCGTCTATGTGCTTTACGCCAGTCTGCCTGTGTTTGTATGTTGTACCTGAATGCCTGTTTTGCTTTAGCTTCACTGGAGATCAGTTCCAGTGGTTCTAATGCAGCATTCTCTTGTAATCTAAAGCTAAAGCTGCTGTTTGGAATCCGGCCCATTTTGAGTAACACTGCAAATAAAAATGTCACGTTTAATAATCTCCTTATTTGAATTTGTTAAAGGGCAACTCTGCTGGGTTTTACACACTAGACTACACTTGCGGTCAGATGTTTACTAGGGGTGCAACGATACTCGTATCGATATTGAACCGTTCGATACAG